GGTGGTGTCAGTATGAGTAGAGATTTTGGCAATTTGGGGGAATTTTCTCCCTTTCTCCCCAGAATCAATTTAAATTTTACTGACCTATTTAGACCTGGGCCCAGTCCTACATCTTAAAAGCTTGCTAACAATTCCAGCCATTAGTGATTTCCATCTCCTTTCTACTCCTATAAGTATCACCTCTCCCAGTGTGGTGAAAGCAAGTTTAGGGGCAGAGACGGTTTTACAGAGAAATATTTTAGCATTTGACCGGAGTAAAGCACTAAACTTGCTAATCACATAGCACTTACCATATATCCATCTGTGGACTGATTACCAAAGTGGTATTCAGGAGAGGCAAAACCCAAATATCCTAGCAAGTGACCTATTTTATATCCTATAACAGAGATTTTAAACTTTTTTTTTAAATCATGGACCCCTTTTCAAAGAAAGGTTTTTAAATGCATAAAAGACATAGGATCACAAAAGAAACAGATTATGCTAAAATATAGTTATCAAAAGAGTAAAAAGACAAGTTCACAGACTCCTTGAAATTTATCCAAAGATTTAAACCCTTAATTCAGGGGTTACAAACCCCTGTCCTAGAAGGACATGCTTACTTTTCTTTCCTGTAAGGGACAGATTGCCATCACTTCCTACTTTATTCCCAATGCATGATTAATAAGGTTGAATTTTGGATTTGGAGTCAGAAGGGACCGTTCGAGGCCAGCAAGTCCAACTTCCTTATCTTACCTATGAGGAGAAGAGAAGTTAGAGAATTGGCTCATGGTGGGTGAGAATTCTAAATTGGGTCCTCCAACTCCAACGTCAGTGCCCTTACACTGAAATATTAATCTTCAGTGCTTGTATTACTAGTACAACAATAAAGGAAGAGTTTAGGGGAAAGGAAACCACTTCAAGGGGTAATCCAAAATGCCAAAAGCATGAAGGGAACATATGTAACAACAACAAAATAGATTAGATTCTTTCCTGTGGTTAAGCTATACCCAGGTCACAAATTAGGCACTCTAGTTTTCAGTCCAAAAAGGTAACAGCTTGAAAATTGTCTATGGACTACTGTAACAGCCTCTTGCTTTATGGTACTTCAGAAGTCCCTGGGTCTTAGAGCTTTTGTATGGGTAAATAACTAAGACATTTTAGCTTCTGAAGTGAATTTAAGATAACTAGAAGTATATAATTTGACATTTAAATTTATCTACCAACTGTCTGGAACACTTATTCCCAAGTGCCAGTCTGCACAACTTTTATGTATCAAACAAGGCCTTACTTCTTCAAAGGGAAAAAACAAAAACAAAAAACAAAAACAACTTACTCTTCTCCTCTCTGTTTCTTGATTCTCCCATTTGCCTCTTTTGTCCCAGCTCATGTTTTCCAACCTATAGGTTGCCCGGCTGTGGCTACAGAAGGATAAGTCTATGATTACCAATTTTTAGCCTTTACTAATTTGTAGAATGATTTGCCCTGGGAAAGTGGTCTAGCAACCTTTTGTCATCTAGGCTAGATTTATCAACTGTGTATTTAAAAAAACAAACCACAAAACAGTACAAAAAAACTTTGATAGATTTTTTTTATGTTAGTTTCTGGATACTCTCCTACCCCTCCACAGTCTATCTAGTCTTAACTTTTGTCTTACCACTGGACTTAGACGACTCTGGAAGAGAGAGTGAGGCTGATAACTTTGTGCAACTCTGCCTCACATAAATCCAATTCATGGGCAAATAAAGACATCATCCTGTGATCTCACTGGTCCTCTTAGAAATCGAAGAACACCACCATCTTGTTTGATAATCAACAGAGACCAAGTCTTTTACAGAGTATGCAATATTTTGTGCCCATGATTACCACCTATTCAGGGAAAGAAGGGATATATTTCCTTTTCTTCATCTCTTCTGAGGCCAAGATAGTTGATTATGATTGATCAAGTTTTAACTTCTACAAGATGAATTTTGAGAATAATTTTACAGGCTTCCTTTCACTATAGCAGCAATAAAATAATTACTTAGGTAGTGGTGAGAGTTATTACCTTCATGACTTGCAACAACCAATTTCCTATAAAACATAATCCCTAAGGTTTGAGGATTTTGTTTGTTGAAGGGAAGAAGAAGAAGTGTCTAAAGCAAGTCTATAATTATTTTTACTGAAACTTTTAAAAGTCTATTTTCTTTGTCCTTAAAATGTTTGGATTTCCCCCCCTCCCTTTTTTGGTAAGTCTTCATTGCCTATTCTTTTTTTCTCCTTCCTCTCCCTCAAGAAGATGACTAGTTTAGTGGTTTTGAAACTGGCATCCAGATTATGACTACAGGAAGAACCCATAACCCATATCACTTAGACCACTGTGCTCCCATTCAAAGGTATTCCATCACTGTTGACCAAATGAATTCCATAGTTTGATACATTTTTGTTAAACCTAGGAGTCCTAGAACTCTTCCCAGGTAGGAATGAGGTGCAAAATGACTAGATACCACTATTTCTTTGCAACCACTAAGTGGAAACTGTAACATCTTTATACAGCAAATAACAGTTTAGCTGTGTTTAGGCTGCTAAGACAGACTCACGGAAAACTTTATTGAAAATATATGAAACCATTTTCTGAGGATCCAGACTAAGTTTTAATATATTTATTATTGTGACTAGAAACCTAATCTTTATATTTAGCATCATAAGCTTGTCACTATTTGATAGTATCAACTATGGTCTTGGGGTTATTACCTTTCCCCAATGTTTTTGGGGCAAAGAAGTTAGGTGTATGCCCTTCCCATACGAGATGGCTAAGTTTTGTAGGGCCCTTGTTTAGTAGTTTCAATTACTTAAGCATTCACATTTTAGTCCTTTCTTTCAAAGTACACAGTAGTTTGTTCTGTTTTAAGGGAGAGGTATAGAACTGATGTTTATAAGAGAACAAGAAATTGGTCATCACCTCAGAAGGTCATGGAACTTTTTGAAAACTATTTCAATATTAGTTTTCTTTGTAATCCCTATGCATCTTATGCACTTAAAAACATCCTGAGAAGTGGTCCATAGATTTCACCAGACTGCCAAAGGGTCCAAGGCACACAAAAAGGTTAAAACCTCCTGCTCTAGCAATTTATAATGGGTTAGTGTTACTTGTACAGGTAATGTTATTAGGTAAGCAAGACTCATGTGTAAAAAGATAGCTAATAATAACTAATTTGTGTAGCACTTTAATATTTGCAAAGTGCTTTAATACATTTACTCATTTTATTTTTGTAATGATCCTATTAGATAGGGGTAACAAACTAATCATTTTTTCCATTTACAGTGTACATTGGTGACTAGCCAACAGAAAGCCAAGTTCTGCAGAGATTTAAAATTAGATGCTGGATAAACAAGGCAGGGAGAGTAGTTAAAAAAAATGACCAGGCAGATATGTCAACCTCCCCTCCACATCACCTCCCCCTACCTCACCCCAAGAGAAAGTCCATCTTAAGAAGTTCTGAAGATGGTAGAACTTTCACACAAGCCTTTTACAACATTTCGTGGTAAAATAGTTCAAATTATTACTTCAAAAGTTACAAGATGCACCACACTGAAAAAAATTGATACAGTAACCAATCACAGAAGGTGGAGGAAAGGGACTTGTCAGAATACAAAAAGGATACTGCTTAGAACACTCTTTAGTGACCATGATAAGAGTTGGCAATTTTGAAGATGAAAGCTACATAATTCAGTTTTCTGGTCTTTAGATTTGAAGTTGTTTCCCCTTAAAGCCCAACCCCTAATTCACACGTGGCTGAAGGCCTATAGTTTTGACCTACTGCCTCTGTGGAAATGCAGTCTGAGACCCTGAGCCTGGAGCCAGGAATTCGGACAACCTTTACCTACTCCAGCTCTACAGCCAGTAAATGGGCTAAAACTTAGCGCCTCATCAGTCTTTTAAAATCCCTTTGCCAGAAACTCCTAAGGACAGAGATTTTCACAGCTGAAGCAAGAGATAGCATCAGCAGACCAAGGTGTGAAGAGAAGTCCATAAAACCCCAGTGCCTGGGGTAGGATAATAAGACGTGTATCACCTTCCTCCTCCTCCCCTCACTCCAAAAGAAACCCTACCTCATAATTTCGTGCTATTTCCTTTTGCTCTTTTGTTTGGAGAGAGCACTAATTACAGTGGCTAGATTTCGGACTCTTCCTGTCTCGGAAAGCCTCCTGAGAAAGCCGCAGGGCGACCAGAATTAAGTCCTGCATCTTCCACTTCCCCCTCCAGGCAGTACTAATATAGAAGGCCCGAGAGCATTTTTTACTAAGGGAGAAGAGAAAGGAGGTGAGGATGGAGCTAACAGAGAGGACCTACCTAAGGCCACTGCTCCCACCCCGCATCCCAGGGAGCGACCTGCCCCAGAACGGGACTACTCGAGCCTAGCAGAAAGCACAATTCACACTGTTCCCTCCCTTACATGAGCTGAGAGCCACTCCGAACGTGCGCCGGCTCACGGCAGCTGTAGTACTACCCACTGGGCTGGGTACGACTTCACCAACACCCACTCCCTAACCCCCTCGCCGGCTGGTCCTCCCCCACCCTCAGGCAGCTCCGGAGGATCACCAAGAGGCATTCGCACCCAGCTCAGGCTGGCCTTGCTCTTTACCTCCCTTCTTCCTCTTACTCCTTGGGGAGGAGAGAAAACCATTGTTGCAATCGTTCAGAAGCTCACGTTCAAGGAGTCCCCGAAGGGGGTTGATCAAGGAGAATAAGGTTTCTTTAGACCTTCTTGAATTTCGGAATGATGGAGGGTTTTTTCTTGGGGGGAGGCAAAGTGAGATTTGTAAGTCAAATCAACACCACACCATCCCTTCTGTCGACCACCTCTTTCTCTCTCTTCCCACCCCCATGGTACTGACAGACAGAGGGGGCTCTGGGGCGCCGCCAGGGTGGGCAGGGAGAAGACAGGAGGAGAAGGGGTGGCGAGTAGAGATGAGGAAAGGGAAATCACACCTAAGCTTATTTCTCCAGGCCAGCAAACTCAGGGTGCCCCATTCTCACTTACCCTCCACAGTGCTGCGCTCTCCAGACAAACACCACATCGCGACTAAGAGCCAGAGTCCCCAGAGCGAGAACGTGCCCATGGTGCCCGGCTCCTGCTGCTGCTCCCGGGCTGTTGCTGGTGGAGGTGGTGCCGACACCGCTCCCTGGCACAAGTTAGCAACCCTTAGAAAAGGGGGAAGGGGACAGGGCCTGAGGGTAGGGGGAAAAAGGGGAAAGGGGGAGGGGAGGGAGAAGGTAAGGGAGTTTAAGAGGAAAAGTGGGGGAGGGAAGGAAAGAGGACGTCCCCCTCCCCTACAACTTGCACAATATTCCCCCCCCCCCCACTAACCAACCCACCTCCCCCTCGCTGTTGCAGCTGTGCAAAACCAAGCCTGCTAAACGAAAATAACGCAGGCGATGCAGAGGAGGGGAAGGAAAGGGTGAGGGGGTGGGGAAGGGAACCAAGAAGCTAGCCGGAGCCAGGAGCCGAGCACAGCGGCGACTGTAGAGGGGGGTAAAGGGAGGGAGAAGGAGTGAGTGTGGGGGAGCGGGAGGAGTGGTCAAGGAGGAGGAACAGACGCCGGCAGACTTCACCCCTCCCCCCCACGCCTGGCTCTTCTTATACACGCCAACCCGGTGCCTAAACCCTGTGTGTCTGTGTGCGCACGTGTGTATGAGTGTGTGCGTGTGTGCATGCGTGTCCGTGGTGGCTGCTGCTCCAGCTGCCGGGCCGGGGCTGCTCCCCTTGTCCGCTCGTGACTCACAGGGGCCCTGGGTGGCTGCTGGTTGGCTCTCGCGCCGCTCGCGCCTCCAATCCCCCGTGCCTGCCCTAATTTCCTGATCCAGGGAACCTGCCGCTGCCGCCGCCGCCGCCGCCGCCGCCGCCGCAGCTGCTGTGCGCTCCATACGGTAATTATTGTACCCTACAGACTGCTCAGACATGCGGTGGCCAAGCCGGCCACCGATAGTAACTACAGCGGGCAGCCTCACCCACCCTTATGACCACCACCACCATCACCTTTGCCGGGCTTCCATACAGGTGACTGCTGGGTTTTACCTGCTGTTTGTTTTATTGGTCAGCAATCATCCCTCTACCGTCCTTTCCTTCATCTTCCTGGAGCTCCCTGCCCCCCCGGACCCCCAAGAGTGCTTAGAACAAGAAGTATGGTAGGTAGCCTCCCAGTGCCTCCGCCTCTCGGGTGATGGAGAAGAGGGGAACAGTCGGTGTGGACTAATCTTGCATGGGGAAGGGGATGCCTGTTTAAAGTGCACTTTGGAATAGCAATTTGCTAAAAGTAAATGTGTCTTTGAGTGTTTGTGTGAGCATGTGGTTTGTTCTCTGTAACAGAAAAAGACTAAAATAACCCCGGCTGGTGTGGAGGAAGGTAATTGCTAGCTATGCATTCTCTCATCAAGGATTTTAGTTAATTGCTAATTGCACAAAATGTAGTTGGAGGTGCTGTAATTAAAAACTTAACCTTTTATTGAGAGGGGGAGTCAATAGATTTGTGTCTAATACACTTTGGTACATTCAATTACAGGGCTTTAGAAACGAAACGAAAAGATAAAGGTAAGAGCCCTATTAAAATTTTTGTCTCTGCTTGGCCATGTTATGTACTTCTAATTTTCCTATAATTTTCTGCGGATTTCCCTTAACTTCTTTCATCCACGTGACATCCTGATCAGTTGTTGCTCACAAGCAAAGTATTAGCGTTTTAGGGGACAGCGGATGCAAAACTCTAATAGAAAAGAAATTCTAAAAGCAAGACAATCTTTCAAAGTTTAATTAAAAAAAACAATGATAACATTCTTATTAAGTGTTCCGAGTTCTTTTAAACAAGTGATTTTGGAACTTTTGAAAACACAAGCATTTATGTGGTGTTTGTAGTGTGTCTTTTCTTTTCATGTCAGGAAGGGGATATTGTGAGTAATATACCTAACTGTCCAGTAGAGAAGGAGAGGACATTTGCTTTAATGGGGCCAGAATATTCATTTTGGGACTGATAAAGATGATGAGGTTTTAATTGCATAGATCTTCACAAATTCTTGCTTAAACTGAATGTGGCTATTATTTCTTACTCCCACATGTTCATTTGTTTGGCATGAACGGCTGCTTTTGCCATACAATCTTGTGACCTTCTCTCCTTCCACCCCAGTTTAAAAAAAAATGCCACATGATTTAAAATATTTGAATAGTGGTCTTACACAGTAAAAAAGTCAGTTTTAAGATGAAAACAAAACATAATATGTCAAAGTGGGAGAAAGGGTTAGAATCATTAAATCAACTGCGTTTAAAGCTTAGACATCATTCTGTGACTGATAGGGGTCAGATAGGGTTTGATATGGGTTAGATTCTAGTGCAACTCTTTCATTTTCCTAAGTGGAAAAGGTGCCAGCACAATTTTGAGCGTTATGCTAGAAATAGTTGTATTTTGGGCTTTTAGTACTTTATCTAAAATTAAATATGCCCTAAACCTGATAATTATTGCCAAAGAGAGGAGTTTCTGACTAAACGGTTCCATTTGTTATAGAATCCTAAAGATGTTAAAGCTCAGATAACACTTCAATCTAAATCACTTTTCTTTGTAACTAAGTCAAAAGGAAATAACATTTTCAACTTTACCACTGATTTGCTACGTAACCCTGGGAAATCATTTTGTCTTTTGGTACTTCAGTTTTTACTCACATGTAAATTGAAAATAATGCCCCTGCCCCAAAGCCAACCCACAAGGATGTACTGAGAATTACCAAGAAAATGTCAACAAAGGGCTCCAACTTCCATGGGTAATGGTAGTATATAAATAACCCACTATTGCACCAGATCAGAGGCAGGTAAAGGTCTCGAAACATGGGAAAAGGGTGGAGACTTTAAACTATTAGTTTTGAGTTTGACTTTGATTTCTGGCCAAATTCAAGAACACTTTATTAAAAAAGATGATGAATTAACATTTCAAAAGGGAAGCAGTGATTGGGGCATGCCAGCCTAATATCATCTTCCTTTTTTGACCAAGTTACCAGACTGGTAGATAAGGCAACTGTTAGGGACATAGTATACTTGAGTGTCACTAAGAAACCACAAAGTCTCCCATGCCATCCTTATGAATACAGTAGGACAGCTAAGGTGGATTCAGAACTGGATCCTTATGGGAGTGATGCCAACTTGGACCATTCTGGGGATGTAGCTGTCTTAGGCTCTGTGAAATTCAACATTTTTATGAATGACTTAGGTGGAATGTTTATCAAATTTGCAGATGGCATGAAGCTTGGAGGAATGTCGAAGACACCAGAAGACAGGATCCAAAAAGATTTGACAAACTGGATTGATGAACAGAATCCAATGAGATGAATTTGAATTGGGTTAAATGTTGAAAATGCTACTTATCAATTCAAAAAATGAACTGCACAAGTGCAGAACAGAGGAGACCTGGCCAGAAAATTGTTCCTGCAGAAGAGATTTTTAGGAGTTGTGTGGCACACCAGCAACAGCAACAACTAAGGTGATTTTGGGGCTGTGTTAAGAGACATGATTTTCAGAACAATAAAGAGAAAACTCTCCCATTGGATTTTGTCCTGGTGAGGCCATATCTAGAGGATGGCATTCAGTTCTGGGTAAAACATTTTAGGAAGGATATACTAATCAAATGAAAGAAGAGACCAAGATAGTGATAGGATGAAGGCCTATGCTATAGTAGGAACAATGGAAAGGAGGAATGTTTAGCTTGAAGAAAGGAAGATGTTGGGTAGGACATGGCAGCTGCCTTCAAATACTTGACGTATTATTATATAAAAAAAGGTTAGATTATTCTTCCTGGTCCCAGAGGATGAAGCTAGGGACAATTGTTGGTAAATGGAGAAAGGCTTAGTTAATTCAAATTAACAGACATTTATTAATCACCTGTATTAGGGACTGAGGCTACAAAGATAAAAAGAAAAAAAAGTATTTGTTTTCAAGGAGTTCACACACTATCAGGAGCATGTATGTAAATTTAAAAAAATCCAAGGTAATCTTAAGAAAAGCAGAAGACAGTAACAAACAGAGTGATTAAAGAGGGCTTGCTGGATGTGGTAGCAAGTAAATTGAGAAATGTGAGGGTAGACAAGGATTCTGAGGCAGAGCTGAGGAAGGCAATGTATTCCAAGCATGGAGCTGGGCAAGGGGAAGAGGGAAGACTTGTACAAATTCATAGATGAGGGAGATAGAATGTTGAATTTGGGTAATGTCTAGCTCAATATGTCTAGAAGCTAGAGAGCTGGACTGTGAGCAGGTTGGAATAAATATGGAAATGTAAGTGGGGAGGGAAGTGGCAAGCTCAAACTTATGCTTTAGTAGAATTAGTTTCCCAGCTATATGGAGGATAGATTGGAAGGAAGAAAGCTAATTAAAAAGTTATTACAAGATAGGATGGCTGGGAGAGTAGAGAGAAGGTGATAGATATTAGACATGTTCTGGAGGTAGAATCTGTACAACATGATAATTGATTGGAATGAGGGAGAGAAATAAGTCAAAGATGATGCTGAGATCACGAGCCTAAGTGACTAGAATGGTGGTGCCTTTCACAGAAATACAGAAGCTTAGAGGAGGGAGCAGTAGGTTATGGGGAGAAGGGTTCCCTTTTGAACATTATTTAGAGTAAAGAGGCCTAGGGGAAGTATATTTGAAATTGCCCAACTAGCAGTTCTCAATATGGGACTAAAATGCTAGCAAGAGATTGGGACTGGATATATTATTGTTGGAGCCATTTTCATGGACGTAATTGAATCAATGAGAGTAGATGAGATCACCAAAGGGAAGAGAAAAGGAGCAAGAGGAATGAAAATGGAGCATTGGAAGCTTAAAGTACAGGAGATAGATGATTCAGCAAAGAAGACTGGGAAGATGGGAGGACTAGCGGAGAATAGAATCATGGAAGTTAAGGAAGGAAAGTATATAGGGAGGAGTGACTAACAAGGGCAAAAGCTGCAGAGAAGTCAAGGAGTACGTGGACAGAGAAATGGTCATTGGATTTAGCACTTAAGGGAATGTTGGTACCATTTTGAGAGGTTAATTTCAATAGAATAGTGGTATCTAAAGATAGATTGTAAGGGGTTTTTAGTGAGTAGCTGGCAAAGAAATAGAGATAGGGAATGTAAGTAGCTAGGGGAGTTGGAAGTATTCAGAAGAGAAAAGAAACAATGAAATGGCTCCTGAGAAGGGAGCATTATAGGGAATCAATCAGCAAGCCAAATGTAGAATGAGCTTCTTGGAATAGTATTCTCTTCCCAGGGTACTTTCCAAGTAGAGGCTGGATGACCATTTGCCAGGGATGTTGTAGAGAAGATTCAGCTTCAGGCATGGGTTGGACCAGATGACTCCTAAGATCCTGTCCAATGCTTTGATTCTGAGAACATTAATCAGAATGAGTGCATTCAATTAATACACTAAGTACATAAATGGTATAAAATATGAATTTGTCCCAGTGGAGATGGGTATAAATGACCTGGCCTGGGAATAATGAACTTGGTGCTGCTTGACTAAATGTAAGTTATTTAGCAGAATTTACTTGAGCCAATTCCTAAATGCATATTACATATTCATCCTTCTTTTCAACCCATGCCCAGAGGCTCCTGAGATGAAGAATAAATAAATGATTTGTAGTTTCAGAAAGGGAAATATTGGTAAGGAATAGCCATTTACAGAGTGTTGATAATGAATAATCAAGTTCCTGTAATCCAAAATAGACTCATCTCTACAAAAATCCTCCTTCTTTTTCCTTCCCCAACCCCCACTGTCCCCCAACCAAAATAAATAGAATGTGGCTAAGGGATGGCTAGCATGTGTATGGGTGAGGATCTAATGAAAAATACCCTGGGTAAATCTTGTCCCAAACTGATGGACATAAGGGGCAGCTAGGTGGCACAGTGAACAGAGCACCAGCCCTAGAGTCAGGAGAACTTGAGTTCAAATCCACCCTCAGACACTTGATACTTACTAGCTTTGTGACCCTGGGAAAGTCACTTAACTCCAATTGCCCAGCAAAAAACAAAAACAAAAAAGAAAAAGAGAAACAAACTGATGGACATAATTTGTGCATATTATTTGATTAGCAAAAGCAAGTTGTTTTTTTTAAAAATGTTTTCCAGTACACTATATGTAGGGAGAAATAAACTAAAGTGTCCAGTATTAAA